ATAGACATTTGTTGAATTCCTGTGGATTAAATTGATTACCTACTACCAGTATGCTGTGTAAACATCTCCCTCCTCTCCTGGCTCCTTTTTTGGTCATAAGGTTGACTTTTCTTTCTTCTTCTTCCGTACTCTTCCTGTTCCCTTCCTTCTATCCCCCATTTCTCCTTCTTCCTCTCCCCCTTTCTTCTTCCTCCTTTCCTTCCTCGATAGTGAGGCTATCTGGCCTTTCCCCTGTTGGCTGAGTTCTGGCAGACTTGGCTGAGAGCCTAGCACAGTTTCTTACTTCTACCCCTGTGGTCAACAACAGCCTATAAAAAAAAAAAAACAGTTGCCTGTGTGCTCTGGAATTTATTTGGGGGAAAATCCATGCTGTTTCTCTCTGAGGTGGAAAAGGAGTCAACGGTGAGCCCTGGCCAACAAGCTGTGAGGGAGGAAATGGTTTGCAGTGTGGCTCTTAGCTCTCAGGCTGTTTTCACCAAATAGAAAACAGACTCTCAGCCCAGGGCTGGGACTTGGGACACCCCACTGACTTTCCCTCTGGGTGCAGGACCTCACAGGCCCATCTTCTTAGCCTTCTACATCATCACTAGTGTCTGGACCAAAGCAATGAGAATCCCTCCCCCATTCCCTGGGAAATGTCACACAGTCAGATTGCAGCCCCAGCCCTAGTATACACACAGAGATAGAAGGGATATGGAAATTTAAACCAAGAACAGTGATGGGCTTGTCCTTGAACTATGCCTTATACAAACCTTTGCATATTGCAAAGATTCCAACTCATCCATTAAAGCACCATAATGCTCAGCCACATGTTGTTATAATCCAAACCAGGTCTGTGCATTTCTGTGCGATGCTATTGTGCAGATTACTGTGCAGATGAAAGGAAGTCAGTGAAGGGAGAAAAAAAAAGACATATTTCATGGAGAAGAGCCTGGGCTCTCACATGTCCAGGTTTCAGCAAGAGATAACATAGGTAGAGTGCTTAGCAGAGTGACTAGAACATAGACCATTCTCAACAGAAGTTGCTACTTGTGATGCTGGATGACCTATGTTGTGGCTGGAAGCAAGTCTGTCTTTCAGTGCTCAGATTATTAAACAGCCTGTCCTACCTGAGGAAGGGAAGGCAATATCTAGCACACACCTGTCCTGTTCATGCATTCATTGACTTTCAGGTGGGGTGACTGGCAGAAAGGCAATATTGAGGGATAAGGCAACTAATCTGGGCATCTGGACGGATGGGAAATAACTAAATGGGCATGTGGAGACACACTAACTGAGGGAGCTAAAACTTCCTTCTGAGTCAATACAACCCAGACCCCAGAGTAATTTTCAAACCTTCTCAACCTTTTTTGAGGTCCAAATGCAACACCATAAATAGATATCTACAAATCTTTTCTACCCCTGTGGTCAACAACAGCATATAAAAAAGCAGTTGCCTGTGTGCTCTGGAATTTATTTGGGGGAAAATTCATGCTGTTTCTCTCTGAAGTGGAAAAGGAGTCAAAGGTGAGCCGTGGCTTTTCCCTCTCTGATGTTTAATCATAGTGCCCCCCTTTTCCTTTATGCAATGCTATCTAGCTGCTGACACTTTGTCCTATACAGGGGAACAACAGGGCAATTTTAAAAAGGGAGTGGTTTCTATTTATTCATATTGTTTTCAAGGTTAGATGACATAGGTTGCCTACCTAGCTCATAAAGCCTGCTGTCCAAACACATCTCTTCTCCTTGGCCTTTTAAACACAACTCAGCATATGTCAAAGGAATTCTGGATGGCTTGGACCCACTGGCCCAGGGTAATCTCAGCAATCTGAAGGAAGTGATATGTGTTGCCCTATACTGTTAAGCAGGACAAGTGTTTGAGGGAACATGTCAGGCACAGGGTAGGAAAGGAGGATTTTAAAGTGGTTAATGTATTTACATGGTTCAAATTTTAAAGGTCCTCCCTTCCTGGAGGCAATGGATATTATTAGATTTTATGTCTATAGTTACCCTTCTCTTTTAAAACATGAAAGACAGCATAGCATAAACATCACATACATCTTTTTTCCCCCACTTTCCCGTATACTTTGGAAAGCATTCCATTCTAATTATATCAAGAACTTCCCAATTCTTTTTCTATAGATAAATAGGACAGGCTTGTCTGAAAGTACAGGCCCCTTTTGATAGTATATAGGTTGTTCTTTCATAGTTCAGACAGTTCTGCAATGTATATATGTCTTTGTGCCCATATGCAAGTATAACCCCAAGTTAAATTCCTAAAATTGGAAACACTGAGTCATGTGGTACAGGCATTTCTAATTTGGCCAGGAGTTTCCAAAACGCCTTCCAAAGAAGTTGTACCAATTTTCTGTCCTGCTGCAAATATATGAACATGCCTGTTTTTCCAGAACCTCATCAATAGTTTCTCAGTCTTTTAGTACTTAGTAATTAAAAGCTCAACATGTATGTTATTATAGTTTGCACTTTACACATTAAGGCAAACCAAGGACAATCCACTTTTTCCAAGCTAGCACTTTCCCTAAATTCTAATGGAGTCACAAACATTTCTTCTATCTACAAATAACAAACTATGCATCTGTTTTTAATGGGAGGAAAGTAGCCCTGTGCAAAACTCAGGGACATTGGAGCCAGAGTCCTGGGCCCCAAGTATAGCTCTACCACTTACTAACTTGGTGATCTTGGCAAATTATTTAACCACCTCAAACTCAGTCTCTTTATATGAAAAATGGAGTTCATCACATTGATTTTGCAAAACCTTATATCTGGTGCACCGAAGGTACTTAATAATGGTACTTAATAAAGGATAACAGCTTTTATTAGTGTTAATCACCAGGTCAGATTCAAACCTCTGAGCACTTTTCACAATTAATGGACCCTGAAAATGCCCAGCTTAATGGCTCTTTGTGAAGTCTGTAGCAGAGCGCTAGAATCACCACAGGCCTCAAGTGAAGGCTGGGCTGTTCCTAGGCCAGGCTCCCCTGCTGCCAGATGCTGTTTGTAAGAAGACCGAGACAGCACTCATTTCTAATTACTGATAGGCAAGCTAGAGATAAAACAGATCCTTAGGCAAAACATAAGGGACTTTCTCCCAGTAGCAGGGCAGCCCGTGTTGCCTTGCCTCTCCAGAACCCTGTCTCCAAGGCCACAAAAGGCAGATCTCTAGTTCTAGCAGGAATGTTGCTGGTCTCAACAACTAAGATTTCTATCCATGTATGTGAGCCTGTCCCATTTCATCCCCAGGATAGTAGAAATTATAGCTGTACGTGAGGAGGGGCTGCTGCTGCCTTGAACAACGCCACAGCAGAACCACATAGGGCCACAGTTAGTTTGTCTCTGGATGCCAGCACGACATATACATACATACAGGATTTAGTCAACATCTCTGTATATATATGAGCTTAGGTCCTCTCCTGCATGAGAGCTGGAAGCTTTGGAGAGAAGTCAGAGAAATGACAACTGTTTTCAGAGAATGTGCCTTTGCTTTCTTCCCTTTGATTCACCTCTACTAGTTTGCAGAAAGGAGGCAGGATCAGAATCTATTGTTACCAAGTACTTCATTAGTACAGACAGATGCCTTTTACCCCACAGGACTTCAAAGCCCAGTAAATCTCAGCCAAAGCGAATCCACAAGATCTGAAAGTCCCTCACCCCTGTCTCTGCAGGGTATAAAACACGAGTGATTTAAATGCTGAAGGACCACGCATGGCCCATATATCACCAGAGCAAACATCAATCTCTGCCAGTCACGCTGCTGTTTCCCTAGAATCTAGCCCGTAGCCTGGCCACGAGAACCTCTGTCAATCTCGGGGGTGGAGCCAGGCCAACGGGGGTCCGAGGGTGTGGGAAGGGACAGCAGCCGCACTGACTTGAAGGTGCTTCAACTAAGCACCTGAGCTTGGGGGTGGGATACCTGCGCCCCCACCACATCAAACTTGCTAAGAAGCGCAGCCTTCTAGAACTCTACACTTCCACGCAAAGAATAGGAACTCCCCTGTGCGCCAGTAAAACATGGTGGTATAAAGCAGACCACGGGTACTGACAAAGGTCTACATCTTCCCCCCACCCTCCATCTCCCCGCCTTCCCTGCCCCAGAGATTTAAGAAGCTACACTTCCAGGGGGGCTCCCGAAGCGCCGCTCCACACCCAGGAGACTCGGGATGACCGGACCCGAGCGGCAGGACGCCCCTCTTATCCGGTCACCGTGTGCCACTCGACTCCCACTCTCGCTGCTTGGGCCAAATCCTCCACGGTGCCGCGGGGCGCAGGCTTCCCGCGCCCCGGCCCAGAGCGCGCCTTCCCCGCTGCCGCGTCCTCGGAGCCCAGAGAGCGCGAGAAGACTGGAGCCCGGGGGCAGGGTCCGGAGTCTCTGTCCAGTAGGTGCGATAGGCAGGGGTCCGCCTCGGCTCTTCTGGTCCAGAGCTTGCGGGAGGAGATACCAATCCTCGCAAGACCCGTCGTTGGCGGCCCCGCAGGAACAGCGAAAGCACCTCGGCCCGTGGTATTATTTAAAACTTCAGGAAAATCACCAGCAAGCCCAGCCCAGGTGGCAGAGCTACCCGAGGCCGCGCGCGGGGACCTGGACCGACGCTAAGACCGACGGCGCGGAATCTGCCTCGCCCACACCCCCTAGCCCAGGTCCCAGCCCAGGAGACCCGCGCAGCCTCCGCGCGGCGCGCTGCAGGGTCCCGGGTGGTCGCGGGCGCCGAGGCGCAGGGGCCATGTCCGTGGGGGCTCCGGCAGGGGTGGGGGTGGGGACCTTGCGAAGCGATCCGAGAGGGCGGGTCGGCCCGGGAAAGGAATCCCGCGAATCCGACCTCAGGCGAGGACACCTCCATCTGGTACTTGTCCTCGAGCCGGGAGACTCCCCGCGCCGGCCGCGCCCCTCGGAGCGAGTGGATCGCGGAGCGAGAGGCAGGGTCGAGCTCCCGCAGGAGCCAGTCGGGCACCGCTGCGGCCCCGGTGGGGGCTGGCGCGGGAAGGCGGCTCCCGAGCGCGCTTACCTGGTGCGGAGGCTGCCCCGAAGATGCTCCCGCCGAGCCAGCCGCGCGCCCTCCCGCGGTGCTCGGCCGCCCTCGCCCCGCCCCTCTCGCTCGGCTCGGGGCGCTGCGGAGGGGATCTGAGCCGGCCCCGCAGCTGAGCGGCTCCGCTCCTCCCGCGGCTCAAGCTTGGTCCCCACGGGGTCTGCGCGCGTCCTTCCGGGAGCCGCGGCGGGAGGCCCACGTGAGGCGCCTCTGCCCTCCCCGGCGCTACGAGCGCTGGCAGGGCACGGAGCTGAGAGCCTCATCGCTTTTCCAGGTGGCCCGGCGGGGGGAGGGGGAGCAGGTACCAAGCGACCTGATTGGCGCAGGTCAGAATCCTAGGAGAATCCAAACGAGACAGGGGATTGAGCTGGAGCTGCGCGAAGAGTGCTGCGAGAGCGGGGATCCCTAGGACCCTTCCATCAGCTCCGCTGCCTTTTTGCCTAAAAAAAGTAAAGTCAGGGTCAGGCGTCCCAAGGACGCCTCAGTGCAGGGCCTTTTGCGTGCTGCGGATGAAGTCCAGCACAGAAAATCTGAGAAAATGAGAATCTTGGGGACCAGAGTGTGTCGCTGTCCACTGGAAAGAGCCTGCCTCGACAGCACCCCAAAGGCTCATCTGCTTTCCAGTTTCCTGCCCACATTGGTTCTTGGAAGCCCAGGGACACCTGGATGTCCCTGCTGTTGAGGTGTCAAAGTCCACGTGCATCTCCTTGTCATGGGGACAGCTGGTGGGAATCATCTCCTCAACACTAGAGAAACGTTAGTGTGTTTTGAAGTTCTGATCTGAAGTCACCCCCTTTTAATGTTTTAAAATTGTGTGGGTTCCCAGGCGTTGTGAGGCACGCCTATAATACCAGAACCAGGGAGCCTGAAGCAGGAGGATTGTTGCAAGGTCGAGACTAGCCTGGGCTGCAAAGTTAGCTCAAGGCCAGCCTGAGCTTAGTGAGACCCTGTCTCAAAAAGACAAATGATAATAATAATAAATTGTGGATTGCCAATGTGCTGTACACCAAACACATCCTGACACCAGTAATTCCAAAGTTCTGCTGAAAAACAAGAACTTGCACTTATTCGAATCTTTTCGCCTTCTCTCCCCCCCCCCACATATTGCTTTCAGTCTTGAGTGGACAGAAGACCAGGAGGGGGCAGAGATGGGGTTACCCAGGATAAGCCCAGGAATGTGTTTCTTTATATCAAATATGTTCCTCTATACACCCAGGTTAGTCACAGTGGGGTTCAAGGCAAAGCTAATCACTATAACTGTTTGAAAAATAAGACCAAAACCAAAACAAACAAAAATCACAACCCTCCAAACCATGAGAAGCCATGGACCCACAAACCACATCCAAGTTGTAAAGCTGAGGAGTAAGAAATGTAGCACCCAGGGGCCAGGGAGATGGCTCAGTGGAATAAGCACTTCCCTGGCAAGTGCAAGGGCCTGAGTTCGATCCCTAGTTCCGCCAAAAAAAAAAAAAAAAAAAAAAAAAAAAAATGTAGCACCTGAGCAATCTTTATTGTTCCTAATTCATCGTCTTTATTATTCCTTAAGCAGGCATTCAAAGGCAAACAAACCACCTAGTCATTTCACCAGTCTACTATGATTTCAACACTCTACTTCTTTACACTTTCTCTGACACTTCACAGGTTTTAAGTATGGAACTCACTGGCATGTGCCATCTTTTCTTAGCACAGTCACATCTCACACCTAAATTCCCTTCTTCTCTCATTTCTTCTCAAAGGCAATACACTGAAATAGGAGAGGGCTGTAATTTCACTATTAACCATTACACAGAAAAGTGAAAACAACGCATACGGCAGCCTAGTGCATCACTGAGTCAGACCCCTGTGTGATCCCCACCCAAGTTGTTGCTAGCACGCCAAACCTCTTTCTACTCTTTAATTCTTTTCATAAGCCCTTCCCTTCCAGCCAAAATGACAACTAGCCTGACTTCATGGCAGCTCTTTTCTATATATATCTTCAGAGTTTTATCAATTTGTAGTGCGTTCCTAAACTTTTGCTTATTATTATTACTTTTGCTTATTTTTACTTTCTATCCCCAGTTCCGTCAAAATGAATAAACTTTCTATAAATTAAATACCGTAGTGTGAATATTTTTGTATTTGCCTGGCCTCTGCTTTCATTTGGTTATGTTTGTGGAAGACATCTACTTCGTTACCTATAATTGTAGTTCATCCTTTTCATCACGACTTAATATTCCCTTGTAGGCCCTTGTCAGGATTTATTTGTGAATTCTGGTGCTATAGCTACATGGATCTTTCTAATTTGGGGATATACAAATAATACTGCTAGTAACATTTTTGTGTATGTCTTGGTATATTAATGCAAACTTTTCTTTAGGGTATGCGCCTTAGAATGGGATTGCTAGGCTATAAAGTATGCTTATATTAGGCTTTATTAGAGAATGCCAAATTATTTTCCAAAGTGGCCATAAAATTTACATCCCCATCAGAGATTTATGGTAGTGCAAGTTGCTCCACATCCTTGCCAACACATATTATTTCTTATTTTTTGTCAATCCAGTGGAGTATAATGGTAACTCAGTGATTCTCACTTCTTGTCCCTAATTACTAGTGCCACTGGCCACTTCTACATGACTTTAAAGGTATTTGAATTTCCCATTTTTTAAATTGCTTGTTCAAATATTTACTCATTTTTCTATTGAATTATGTGACACTTTCTTATTGATTAATAAAAGCTCTTTATCTGTTCTGGCTATTTGCCTTTGTCAATTATAGACTAAAAATATCTTCTACTCATTTTATGGTAATTTTTGATTAAGATTATGCTTTTAAAATCAAAATTTTTATTTTGAGATAGTTATAGAATCACATACAGTTGTAAGAAATAATACAGTGAGATTCTTTTGCCAGTTTCCTCGGTGATGACATCTTGAAAACTGGTAGTGTAGCTGCACAGCCCAGATGCTGGCATGCACACCGTCGGGGTACAGAACTTTCCTATCAGCACAAGGATCCCTGTGATCACACCTACTTCCCTTCCCACAGGAAGATAGATCCTGTGGAACTGAATCCAAAGCAAAGTTTTCATTCCTACATCACTTTGCACTCTGAAAGATACCAGCCTTCCTCATTTCTTCACAATCTTTCATGGAATCATAATTTCTGTAGAAATCCTGCTATGCCTTCTTTCTTGGTTCAGCCACGTATAGAGAGCTGCAGCCCCCAGGGAGACAATGAATGCTCCAATGATATGGATCCACAGGTGCCTGGCCAGAAGCCCCCGCACCTGGGGTTGTGCCAACCCACTGGAACTCATGGTCATTACTATCCTTAACACCAATGTCCCTACATGTAACCTTTTGGATTTTTTTCCCCACTCAGCATAATTTCCCTGAAGATTCAACCAGGTTATTTTATGGTTTAAATAAAGAATGTAAACAGGGTGTGATGGCACACACCTGTATTCCCAGCTCTAGGGAGGCTGAGACAGGAAGATCACTCAGACAGGAGTCTGAGCTGCATAGCAGGACCTTGTACCAAATAATTAAATACAAGATTTTTTTAAAAAAGAAGAACATATAAAAAAATTTCCCCAAAGTCTCTTGTGTTCAGAGGTGGGGTTTTTAGAAGGCATTGGGTCATGGGAGCACTATCTTCACTTATGAACTCACCCACTGATGAATCCATAGCTAAATGTCAGGAGGTGGGGCCTGCTGGGAGAGTGGCTCCCAGGCTCCCCGCTTCTTTACTTCCCTGTCACCTCTATGTGAGTGGCTTTCCTCTGCTGTGTCCCTCTCCCATGCTACTTCTGCAGTGAAGCCAGCTGACAATGAACTGGAAAGTGTGAGCCAAAATACATACTCCTTTAACTTGTGGGTTTCAGAGTTGTTTTTTTCTGTCCCAGTGAAGAAGAAAGTGACTAGGATGTTGTATGTATCAGTATTTCATTTCCTTTTATTACCGAATAGTATTCCATAGCGTGGACATTTTATAGCTTGCTTGCTATTTGAGGAGATGTGAATTCCTCCTTTAGTTTTGAGCTACTAAAGTAAAGTTGCCATAAACACTTATGTATTGGTTGTTGTGTAAAGATTTTCATATCTTTGGGATAAACGTTCAAACATGCAATTGCTATATTATGGCATACTTACATGCTTCATATTTAAAGACACTGCCAGCCTGTTTTCCAGAAGAACATTATCATGTCACAGTCACACAAGCCATGTGTGAGTGACCCAGGTTCTCCACGTTCCTGCCAGCATTTGATGAGTTTTAACATATAAATACCCTGTGAAATCATCATAGTCTACATGATACGTATATCCACTGATAGGTTTTAGAGGCAACAGTGATGGAGGCAGCTGTGGTGCAGCAAAGAAACAGAAATAGGGGGAGGGAAAGCCTTTATTAGCTCTAAACACACGGAGAGGACCAGGGACAGGGAGATGGGCAGATCCTCTGACCTGAGACAGGGATCCTGATACTTTATAGACTTTTGCTAGGGGTAGAGTTTAAGAGGTAGGTTTAATGACATACAAGGAGCTGATTAGAGGCTCTGTTGTGTGGGTGGGAAAGGTAAAAGGAAGTCGTACCCTGGGCTGAGTTGGAGAAGAGGGGAGGTGGTCTCTGGGAAGATAAGCTGTTGTTTTCTGGGCTTCAGCCACATTGGATGACCACCTTAATAATTCAGCAATTCATACTAGGGCTATAAATTATCATTCCCATCTTTGGTTGTTATAAAAGGGGCAATGTGTCTCATAGACTGCTTCCTGCTGAACTGGGTGGGGCATCATCTTGGGGGTGAGGGGAGTTGACAGGATGACGGTTCACACCTATGTAGAAGTTAGTGCCAGGTGTCTCAGCTAGGACTAGATAGCTGGAAAAAAAGTTTATTGTTAATGATGGCTAGCATCGGAGACTGAAGAAACCTTGAGAAAAGTTTAAAAAGACAGCACATTATGAGTATATATCATCATGATTAAAAGACACGGGGGGGGGGGGGCAAAAGGGGGACCAAGATCTGTCATTTTACCATGACCATGTTGAACAGGAGGATTATTGATCTTTAGTTTTTGATATCAATGTGAGAAAAAGGAGTCAGGGTCATCTGTAGTACTGCAACGCAGTTGTAT